GAAGAGGAGTCTGAAACTATGAACATACCATAGGCATTCCTCCTCTCTTCATTCCAGGCTTTGTAATCCCGCCACGAGGGACTTGCGTTCTGTTTTCCTTACGTTTGAGTGGCTGCAAAGCATTCTTTGTGAAAAAAATCGCTGGAAGAATAAGCAATTTTTGATACTAATTTATTATAAACCAGAACATCAAAACCACTGATTTTGCTGCAGATACGCATACAATTTATTCGACCCTCACCACGAAACTTGAAGTTCATTTTGCATGATGGAGCCTACAAAGAATTACGGTAGGCATACGGTACGGGGTCAAAGTTTCAGATCTCGCAAAAACGTTACATGGCTTATTCGACAGACTAAAAGACCTTCCAGAGACTTTGCTCAGGGGAGTTATTCACCACGCTAATCATGCAGATCGTGTTGATTCGCATGACAGCGTCATTTTCTCACCAGTAGACATGTGGATGGGTCACAGTCAAAATTTGCTCAAAATTTTGTTTAAAGGAGTTTTTAACCAATTACAAATATTGCTTGCTCGCTGCAGTGTCTTATTGTGGAGTTGTGGTAGTTTATTATAGTTTGGTACTCTTCTGAATAACTTTCTCTTTTCAGGCAGGTTTGATTCCCAGATTCATGGAAAGGCTTTATCATGCAAAATGAGCACATATCTATGATCAGCACGTCAGATCACCCTGCTACATATTTTCAGTAGATGCCCACGGTATTCCAGCCGTAACTCCACGAAAAAATCTCAGAACTTGCAAGAAGGGTATGATATTCGTGATCAGCATGACAGTAATCTTCTAGAAAATCAAGCTGAACCACTTTGACCCCCTTCAGTATGTCCACCGTAGCCATAGAGGGAGACGTTTTTGTGGAAAAAGTAAGGAAATCGTGATCAGCATGTCGAGCACCCCTCCGCGCGAAGTTTCAAAGAAGTGAAGATTTTCACCCCTAACCTAAGCCTACGCAAACCCTCGAAAGACCTAGCAAGCGAAGTGAATATCATTTTCGTGATCAGCAGAACGAATAACCACCCTGGGTGGATTTTCAGCAAATTCCGTATTCCGTGATTTTGTTCCTGAGTTGCAATAGTGAAATTGCGCTACATTTCTGTAGACGACACATTCAACCACCCTTTTAAACTCTCTCCAGAATAGACCTGAATATTTTCTGAATGAAATTTCTTACCTTCCCGTCAGGTCCAATAGCAATTCCTGCAGATCCCATTTTCTTGAGTTACTTTCGCACCTTAAATATACAAATTATTTGTCGCAAATTTTTGGAAGAATAGAAAAAGCAAAGCAAGCGGATTAACGGAGGAAATCTGGAAGAAGATGGAGGAACACTGGCGTGCAACGCGGAGAAATCAATAGCGCTAGCGTCACTAATTCCCTGCCGGACCATATCTGATGTTGCGGTTGCGACCTTTATTAGGCGATCCGCTGACAGGAGATTTTTTCCTGCCTGCCAGTGGTAAAGAACTCGTTTTCGGCATCCATGGAGGTTTCTGGTTTTGAATACATATACTCGAAACGTTTGCATCGTCTAAAAGATGTTGCAAAGCAAGGCTCGTGCAAAACCGGAGGAATTGCTCGAAAGAAAAAGGGGAGTTTGAAACTGAAGCGGGGAAATAGTGCTACATCAATAAAAATCAATCGAGAGCAACTTGATGGAAACTATAGCAGGAACAAGCTCATGATTCGCAAGGGTCGGCTTAGACGTTCAAAAAATCATGACGATGGCGGCGTCCGCATGCGCCTCGTAATGCAATCTCGGAAACGTGTTTTCTTCGCTTCCGTTTCCAGCGGAAATCGTTTTATACTTGCATACGATAGGTTTTGGATTTGGGGAAAGACTATCTGAGTTAACGATTTGGTCCATCAATGGGAACTCGCTTCAGAAATCTGCTTCTCGACTCTGGACCTGGCGTCACCCTTTAAAGGCTGTGTCCGGGCAAAAACCCGATTTCTAGAAAATCCACTTACCGGGGTTATCCGCATTGCTGAATCCAAAAAGGCGCATTAGAAGGCGCGAAAACGGCGAGAACATGCGTTTTC